GATTGTTCTATGGTTTCCACACTCTGTTGAGTCCCCTTTTTTGGGATAGGAACAAATATAGATCTCTTCCAGTCAGTTGGCCAAGTGGTTTTTCTCCAGATTTCTTGGCACAACTTGGTGAGCACATCCAGGGCAGCATTGGTAGGGCTTCATTAATATAACAAATACAATTAACTTCTCTTTTTTCCCAAATGCAATTAAATTCTAAAGAGAATTACATTCACGGGTGTGGGAGTTAGAATTCCAACACATATTTTGAAGTGTGGGGGGACACAATTGAATCCATAACAGATAATTACTGTAGTTCATACTCATTAAGAACATTTTCCTGTACTAATGATTTCTAATGCTGTTGGAGAGAAAGTTGCGTGATGTTTTGGACTCTGAAATTGAAAACTTTTAATTGAGATCTAGCTTTCCAGTTACTCATTGAAGGATCTGAAGTACTCACTGATGTAATTCAGGGATTTGAAAAGAAGCACTAAGGAATCTTAAAAACTCACTGACTCTAAACATGATCATTTATTTGAAGAATAGAAATTCTTTTTCTCTGCTTATTTGATGAAACTGAATGAGACGTTCACATGCTTGAAAGTGGTAAAACCCTCTGAGTGGAAGTGGGGGGCATACTCAGCTTGGTTTTTGCTTTGTTTACAGGGCTACCTGAAGCAATGCCGTAAGAGGAGAGATATGTTCAGTGACGAGCAGTTAAAGGTGATCTTTGGGAACATTGAAGACATCTACAGGTTTCAAATGGGCTTTGTGAGAGACTTAGAGAAACAGTACAACAATGATGATCCCCATCTCAGTGAGATTGGACCCTGTTTCCTGGAGCATGTAAGTGTCCCTCCCTATTTTAAAAGGGGTCTGAAGGAAGTTAGAAAATTTTGGTAGGAAGGTCTGAGCTGCCCAGCATGGCTCCGATGCATTGTCCTGCAGTAGGAGATGGGTTCCATTTTGATCTTTACTTTGATCTCCTTGACAGGAAAGAAAAACTTAGAAAGATTTTATTATTTGTCCTGGAACTTTATTTGCCATTTACCTTCTCCTGCTGGACAGTTACCAGTAGGATTAGATTTGGACTCCATGGAATGTAGTATTGTGCAAGGGACATTGAACCCTTACTGCATGGAAAATTTGAGAATGTGAAAAATAATAGGGACCATTGTCAACAGGCATGTGATTGTGTGGGTCACAACAAACTCTGGCTTACTCTGAGAAGTATGGGAATGTGTCTTCTTCTGTCATCCTTAGTCATTGTCCAACTTTCTGAAGCATAGCAAGTAATTGAGAAGGCCATGCCCTGGATCAGGCACACTTTAGTCTCCAGACTGACATCATTCGAAGTGGTCTCTGACACCAGACTTTCCCAATGCTATTTGTCTTAATTTCCTTGCTGCTGGTATCAAGAGTTTTGATTGTGGAGACAAGCAAACTAAATCTGTTAACAGTTTAACTCTCTTCACCATCCATCATGATGCTACCAATCAGCCAACTAGTGAAAATCTTTGTTTTCTTGATGTTGATCCTTGACCTTCTGCAGCAAGCACTTCAGGTCCTCCTCAGTTTCAGCAAGCAGCGTTGTGTCATCTGCATAACACAGATCGTTGATGAGTCTTCCTCCAATCCTGATGCCACAATTTTCCTCATAGAGCCCAGACTCCCAGATGATCTGTTCTGCATATAGATTGAAAAAGTATGGGGATAGCACACATTCCTGGTGAACACCTTTCCAGATTTTGAACCGTGCAGTATTTCCTTGCTCTGTTCTGATGACTGCCTCCTGGTACAAACAAGTACACATTTCAAATAAGCACAGTCAAGTGTACTGGGATTCCCATTCTTCTCAGAGCCAGCTATAGTTTGTTGGGACCCACACAGTCACATGTCTTTGCATAATCAATGAAACACAGATAGACATTCCTCTGCTACTCCTTGCTTTCAGCCAAGATCCATCTAACATTAGCTATCATATCCCTATTACAATGGCCTCCTCTTAACCCAGCCTTGAACTTCAGGCAGTTCTCTGTTGATGTGCTATTCCAGTCGTTTTTTTATAAAATCCTTATTTCTTAGTGCCACATGTTGTTGTTGTTGTTGTTATGTGCCATTGAGTCGCTTGTAACTCTTAGCAACCCTATACAAAAAAGCTCTGAAATCTGACCAATCATGAGCCAATGTCATTGTTTTTGACACACCTGCCCCTATTACCCTAGTCACTGTGTCAATTCATCTCATACAGGGTCTTCCTCGCCTGTGTTGTCCCTCCCCTTATCTAAGCATGATTTCCTTCTCAAAAGAGTGACCCCTCCTGGTACCATGCTCAAAGAATGTGCAACGGAGCTTTAAAATCTTTGTCTCCAGAGAACAACTTGGGTTCATTCTCTGTGAAACATCCCTGTTTGTTCTCTTGTCAGTCCATTATATTTTCAATACTTTTCTCCAACACCATAATTCAAAGGCATCAATTCTTCTGTCATCCTTATTAATTCTCCGGAACTCTAATGTACAGTAAATAAGTACAAAGATTATGGCCTGGATCAGGCACACCTTAGTCTCTAGACTAACATCGCTGCTCTTCAGCACTCTGGAAAGGTCCCTGACAGCAGACTTTCTTTATCCAATCTGTCTTTTGATTTCCTGATTCTAGTGCAAAGAGTTTTGATAGTGGACCCGAACAAGCCAAAATTATCAGCAATCTCAGTCTCTTCTCCATTTATTATGATGCTGCAAACTGATCCAGTGGTGAGAGTCTTTGTTTTCTTGTTGTAGAGCAGCAATCTATACTGAAGAGTGCAGTCCTTGACCTTCTTCAGCAGTCCCTTCAGGTCCTCTTTAGTTTTGGCAATCAAGGTTGTGTTATCTGTATAATTCAGTTGTTGATGAGTCTTCCTCCAATTCTGGTGCCACAATCCTCCTTCAGTGGGTACAAGTAAAGATGGTGTAATAATAGGCAGAGATCAATGGTAATTAATTGTAGGAAATACAATGTATATGGTTGATTTTTTTTAAATTTAGTTTGCTTATTTTTCATTTCAATGAACATCTACAGAGATTTTAGAATTCCATTTATTCATTGTTGCACCCTTCTCCCCGCACAACCCCGCCCCCCGTTTGCTCCTCTCCTTGAAAAGCAAAAGAAAAACTCCCTCATTGGTACACAATCCTCCCCGCACCTCCCCCAACCCCACCCCAACCCCAAATATAATCCACTCTGCAACCCTCATTGTGTACTCCTACGATAAAAACAATGCCCCAAAATATAATACTTTTAGACTATTCTCTCCCCCATAGACTTCAGTGCTGTAAACATATTTCATCCAGTTTTTCTCAATCTTACCCCCACCCCAATGCCAGCCTCATTCTACAACAGTGGCACCATATAGCATTTGTCCCTTTGTGACTGAGATACCTCACTCAGCATAATGTCCTCCAGGGTCACCCATTTAGAATAATATTGCATGAGTTCCTTGTTTTTCAATGCAGTATAGTATACCATTGTGCGAATATACCACATCTTCTCTACCCATTCGTTTGTTGATGGGCATTTAGGTTGTTTCCAACTCCTTGCTATTGTAAACAAAGCAGCGATAAACATGGGTATGCATATATCTACTTGGATGTCATTTATGGTCTCTTTAGGGTATATTCCCAGTAGTGGAATTGCTGGGTCAAATGGTATCTTTATTTGCAACTTTTTGAGAAAGCACCATAATGCTTTCCACAGTGGTTGTACCATTTTACACTCCCACCAACAGTGAATAAGGATTCCAGTCTCTCCACAACCTCGCCAGCATTTGTTGCTTGCTGTTCTGTTAAATTTTGCTAGTCTTACTGGAGTGAGATGATATCTCATGGTTGTCTTAATTTGCATCTCTCTCAGGGCTAGGGATTTTGAACATTTCTTCATGTGCTTGTTGGGCATCTGAATGTCTTCCTTGGTGAAGTGTCTGTTCATATCCTGTGCCCATTTTTCAATTGGATTATTCTCCTTTTATATGGTTGATTTTATGAAACACAGTGTATGTGAAAGATTGTATAAAACACCAGGTATATGAATTAAACACACTGTAAACTAAATTTTACATTAAAATCAATTAAGGAAAGGGGCATAGGAAGAGGCAGAAAGGGAGATAATTACTGAGATGATGGAGGTGGGTATGTGCATGGGAGGTGATACAGGCAAGTAGATCAGCCTTCTGAATGATCTGTGCCACCTATAGATTAAAAAAATATGGAGAGAGAATGTATCCCTGACATACTCATGTCCTGTTGTTGAGCCATGTAATGTTTCCTTGCTCTGTTCTGATAACTACCTCCAGGTTTCACATGAGCACAATCAGGTGTTTTGTTATTCCTATTCTTAAGCTTATTGGACCAGAGCACTCAGAAGCCAAAGAAAAAGGAAGAAATCAAGAAATTAAAGAGCTGAATTTCAAAGGATAGCACAGGAAGACAAAGTATTATCATGAAAAGTGCAAAGAACTGGACTCTGAAAATCAACAGCACTGAACTCACTTGGTATTTCTTAAACTGAAGGAATTAAAGAACAAATTCAAGCCTCAAGTTGTAATACTTAAGGATGCTTATAGGTAGAATATTGAATGATCCAGGGACATTAACAGAAGATGGAAGGAGTATACAGAGTCACTTTACCAAAAAGAATTGTCTGACACTGAAGAAGTTCTAGAAACTACATATGATCAAGAGGCAATGGTGATGAAGGAGGAAGTTCAGCCTGCTCTGAAGGACTTGGAAAAAATTAAGGCCCAGGGATTGATGGAATACCAATGGACATATTTCAAGAAGCAAATGCTTTCCTGAATGGGCTCACCAGGTTGTGCCAAGAAATCTGGAGGACAACTACCTGGCCAACTGACTGGAAGAGATTTATATGTATTCCCATTCCAATAAAAGGTGACCTGACAGGGTGTGGAAATTATGGTACAATATCATCCATATGACACACAGCAAAATACTGCTGAAGATTATCCAGAAACAACTGGAACAGTTCATTGACAGAGAACTACCAGAAATACAAGCTGGGTTTAGAAGAGGTCATGACACTAGAGACATTATCGCCAATGTCAGATGGATCTTGGCAGAAAGCAAAGAGCACCAGAGGAATATATATCTGTGTTTCATTGACTATGCAAAGGCGTTTGACTGTGTGGATGACAACAAATTGTTGTTAACCTTGAGGAGAATGGGAATTCCAGAACACTTGATTGTGGTTATGTGAAATCTATACTTGGACAAGAAGCAGTCCTCAAAACAGAGCACAGAATCACTACATGGTTCAAAATGAGGAAGGGATTGTGTCAGGGATGTGTCCTGTTTCCATATCTTTTCAATTTAAATACAGAATAGATTGCTTAGGAGGCTGGGCTTTATGAGGAGAAATATAACATCAGGTTTGGAGGAAGACTTATCAACAACCTACTTTTTGCAGATGACACAACCTTGCTTGCTAAAACTGAGGAGGACCAGAAGTGCTTGCTGCAGGATGTTGATGAATGTAGTCTTCAATATGAATTGAACATCAAGAAGACAAAGATTCTCACCACTGGGCCAAATGGCAGCACCATGATAGATGAAGAAGAGAGTGAGGTTGTTAACAGTTACTGCTTGCTCAGCTCCACAGTCAACACTCTTGGCACTAGAAATTAAGAAATCAAAAGACAAATTGCATTAGGTAAACTGGCTGTCCAGGACCTTTCCAGAGGACTGAGAAGCAGTGATGTCATTCTAGAGACTAAGGTGTGACCAGTGTAGGCAATGGTTTTTGCACTTATTTTCTATGCATCAGAGATATGGACAATGACTAAGGATGACTG